AGACAGCCGGGCCCCCACCCATCAATCACCAACAGACAGCCGGGCCCCCACCCATCAATCACCAACAGACAGCCGGGCCCCACCCATCAATCACCAACAGACAGCCGGGCCTCGCCCATCACACAACAATAACCGAGATCCATTGCCTTAACTAACAATATATTTGACACCAGAACGAAGTCACAGGTGCCAAATAAGCACCAAATTCCTATAATTACTGGGCTGGGCACACTAATTTTGTGGTAATTCTCTAACATTGTGGGGCAAATCAAAGGGGGGTACTTGTCCCCTTTGTCTATTAGGACGAGGCAAACTCTTAGTTTGTCTCTTATCCTTTGTCCACAAGGGGGGAGGGACCCACAAGTCACCACGTGATAGAACCCTTCTGGCAGTAGCGGTTGGAAGGTGTTCATATATTACTGAATAGTGTCGAGATTTGTTATCTCGCTAGAGGTACTTGCTGGTTGGCTGTGTGGTGGTTGGCTGTGTGTGGTGGTTGGCTGTGTGTGGTGGTTGGCTGTGTGTGGTGGTTGGCTGTGTGTGGTGGTTGGCTGTGTGTGTGGTGGTTGGCTGTGTGTGTGGTGGTTGGCTGTGTGTGTGGTGGTTGGCTGTGTGTGTGGTGGTTGGCTGTGTGTGTGGTGGTTGGCTGTGTGTGGTGGTTGGCTGTGTGTGTGGTGGTTGGCTGTGTGTGGTGGTTGGCTGTGTGTGGTGGTTGGCTGTGTGTGTGGTGGTTGGCTGTGTGTGTGGTGGTTGGCTGTGTGGTGGTGGTTGGCTGTGTGTGGTGGTGGTTGGCTGTGTGGTGGTGGTTGGCTGTGTGTGGTGGTTGGCTGTGTGTGGTGGTTGGCTGTGTGGTGGTGGTTGGCTGTGTGGTGGTGGTTGGCTGTGTGGTGGTGGTTGGCTGTGTGTGTGGTGGTTGGTTGTGTGTGGTGGTTGGCTGTGTGGTGGTTGGCTGTGTGTGGTGGTTGGCTGTGTGTGGTGGTTGGCTGTGTGTGTGGTGGTTGGCTGTGTGTGTGGTGGTTGGCTGTGTGTGTAGTGGTTGGCTGTGTGTGGTGGTTGGCTGTGTGTGGTGGTTGGCTGTGTGTGGTGGTTGGCTGTGTGTGGTGGTTGGCTGTGTGTATGGTGGTTGGCTGTGTGTGGTGGTGGTTGTGTGGTGGTTGTTGGCTGTGTGGTGGTTGTTGGCTGTGTGTGGTGGTTGGCTGTGTGTGTGGTGGTTGGCTGTGTGTGGTGGTTGGCTGTGTGTGGTGGTTGGCTGTGTGGTGGTTGGCTGTGTGTGGTGGTTGGCTGTGTGTGGTGGTTGGCTGTGTGTGGTGGTTGGCTGTGTGGTGGTTGGCTGTGTGGTGGTGGTTGGCTGTGTGGTGGTGGTTGGCTGTGTGGTGGTGGTTGGCTGTGTGTGTGGTGGTTGTGTGGTGGTTGTTGGCTGTGTGGTGGTTGTTGGCTGTGTGTGGTGGTTGGCTGTGTGTGTGGTGGTTGGCTGTGTGTGTGGTGGTTGGCTGTGTGTGTGGTGGCTGGCTGTGTGGTGGCTGGCTGTGTGGTGGCTGGCTGTGTGGTGGCTGGCTGTGTGGTGGCTGGCTGTGTGGTGGCTGGCTGTGTGGTGGCTGGCTGTGTGGTGGCTGGCTGTGTGGTGGCTGGCTGTGTGTGTGGTGGCTGGCTGTGTGTGTGGTGGTTGGCTGTGTGTGTGGTGGTTGGCTGTGTGTGTGGTGGTTGGCTGTGTGTGTGGTGGTTGGCTGTGTGTGTGGTGGTTGGCTGTGTGTGTGGTGGTTGGCTGTGTGTGTGGTGGTTGGCTGTGTGTGTGGTGGTTGGCTGTGTGTGTGGTGGTTGGCTGTGTGTGTGGTGGTTGGCTGTGTGTGTGGTGGTTGGCTGTGTGTGTGGTGGTTGGCTGTGTGTGTGGTGGTTGGCTGTGTGTGTGGTGGTTGGCTGTGTGTGTGGTGGTTGGCTGTGTGTGTGGTGGTTGGCTGTGTGTGTGGTGGTTGGCTGTGTGTGTGGTGGTTGGCTGTGTGGTGGTGGTTGGCTGTGTGGTGGTGGGTGGCTGTGTGGTGGTGGGTGGCTGTGTGGTGGTGGGTGGCTGTGTGGTGGTGGGTGGCTGTGTGGTGGTGGTTGGCTGTGTGTGGTGGTTGGCTGTGTGGTGGTGGATGGCTGTGTGGTGGTGGATGGCTGTGTGGTGGTGGATGGCTGTGTGGTGGTGGTTGGCTGTGTGGTGGTGGATGGCTGTGTGGTGGTGGATGGCTGTGTGTGGTGGTTGGCTGTGTGTGGTGGATGGCTGTGTGGTGGTGGATGGCTGTGTGTGGTGGTTGGCTGTGTGGTGGTGGATGGCTGTGTGGTGGTGGATGGCTGTGTGGTGGTGGATGGCTGTGTGGTGGTGGTTGGCTGTGTGGTGGTGGGTGGCTGTGTGGTGGTGGGTGGCTGTGTGGTGGTGGGTGGCTGTGTGGTGGTGGTTGGCTGTGTGGTGGTGGTTGGCTGTGTGTGGTGGATGACAGCCAGCCGTCAATGCCGGAGCCATTGTTGCACATTAACACACTCCCTCGTCCTCAATGCTTTTTGTCCAGACGTTTTTCACCCGGTTATTGTCGGGGGGAATTTTTTCCTCCCCGTCCTCGGCCCATTTTTTCCCCCGCCATGTGCAGCGTCCCTGTTTTCTATTGCCGGCTTTTATTATTGTTGCAGAGGCTTTGCAGGCTTTTTGTGGCGTGTCGGCTTTTGCAGGAGGGGGAGGGAGGGGGTGTTGTCGGTAAACAGTGAAGTCTTTTGTGGTTAACAGCTGTTCGTAGCAAAGGCGGGGAATAATATCGACTTCGAGATGTAAACAAAAAGCCAGTAAAGAAAATGGGTATTTTTATTCGCGTAGCAAAATAGGATTTTCCCCCTGGGCGATGCTTCTTCAGTTTCCAGACCCGGTTATGGTCACAGGGGGGGGGGGGCTTTAAGGGGGTATGGGGAGGGGGGTTCGTGGGGGTCGTCGCCCCCGAGGAGGGGAAGGGGTTAATTGTTTAAAGCCATACACGTATGAAGTAACCCCTCCTGTGTGTATTTACTATTTGTGTCTGCAGAATCGAGCTGTTAGCTCTTGGACCCCGCCTTTCTAACCGATCTATTTTTTTCCTCTATGTCAACATTCTTTTTGTAACGCGCGCGCGCACACATTACAACACATTAGTCATTAGAACACGCATCAGAGCACATTAAACATTAGTTCTAGTTATAAGAGAAGGAATATCTACCCAGGAACCACTGGAAGAGTTTGAGATTACCAGCGGGGAAGTAAGGAAGTGTTTCCTAGAGTTGGATGTGACAAAGGCTATAGGCCCGGCTGGAATCTCCCCTTGGGTACTAAAGGAAGGAGCAGAAGCACTATGCCTGCCACTCTCCATTGTGTATAACAAATTACTGGTAACAGGAGAACTGCCGAAAATTTGGAAGAAGGCAAATGTAGTCCCGATATACAAGAAGAGTGATAGACAGGAGGCCTTGAACTACAGGCCAGTGTCCCTTGTATATCATGCATGGTGATGGAGAAGAGTGTATGATATGAGTGTATGAGTGTATACTAGAACAACTGGAAGGAAAGGGAACTATCAGGGGGGAAAGCGCCAAGCCATTACGACTATATAACACTGGGAAGGAGTCAGAACATCTGGAGGTTATCTTGAGGTTATCTTGAGATGATTTCGGGGCTTTAGTGTCCCCGCGGCCCGGTCCTCGACCAGGCCTCCACCCCCAGGAAGCAGCCCGTGACAGCTGACTAACACCCAGGTACCTAATTTACTGCTAGGTAACAGGGGCATAGGGTGAAAGAAACTTTGCTCATTGTTTCTCGCCGGCGCCTGGGATCGAACCCAGGACCACAGGACCACAAGTCCAGCGTGCTGTCCGCTCGGCCGACCGGCTCCCTTAAAGCAAAAGAAAGAGCGAAAGAAATTTGTAACACAATCGAATCTTCTCATTGTAGAAAAACAGCATGTCGAGGATTTGGGAATAATGATGTCCGACGATGTAGCGTTTAGGGAGCATAACCAAGCAAATATTGCGTCAGCCAGAAAAATGATAGGATGGATTACGAGAACTTTCAAATCCAGGGATCCCATCACAATGGTTGTACTCTTCAAGTCACTTGTGTTGTCCCGTCTTGAGTACTGCTCAGTACTCACTTCCCCTTCAGAGCAGGAGAGATTGCTGAAATAGAGGGAATACAGAGAACATATACGGCACGCATAGACGAGATCCTGATAAACACCTCCAAAGGATACGTGATCAACCAGGCTGTGAGCAGTGGCGTCTAACAGCCTGGTTGACCAGACTACCAATCGGGAGGCCTGGTCAGGGATCAGACCACATGAATATTGATTCCCAGCACCATCACAGTGTACATGTAGACTACATCTCAGTCTACACATGGAAGGTAAACCGATAAAATAACAGGAAGCAGAACATACGTCAGAAGGATGTCTTGAACATCAACGATAACTTCTTTACGGGATCGTAGGCTAGAATGGCTTCTTGAGGTTATCTTGAGATGATTTTGGGGCTTTTTTAGTGTCCCCGCGGCCCGGTCCTCGACCAGGCCTCCACCCCCAGGACAGCTGACAGCTGACTAACACCCAGGTACCTATTTTACTGCTAGGTAACAGGGGCATAGGGTGAAAGAAACTCTGCCCATTGTTTCTCGCCGGCTCCTGGGATCGAACTCAGGACCACAGGATCATAAGTCCCGCGTGCTTTCCGCCCGGCCGACCGGCTCCCCAATGGCGTGGGGGGGATGGGGGATAGACACTAGGGTGACGTAACCAGGGACTGCCACTCGTAATATCTGTTGAGGAGGATGATAACGGAGGGATTACCCAGCGGCGGGCCGGCCATACTCCGTGGCCCCCCGGGGGAAGACCGTGGCCATGTACCCGCTCGACCATGGCCGCCGGAGCCCCAGTGGTGTCGCCACGGCTGTAAGACCAACCTCATCGCGGGCCGGAAAGGACTCGCATACCACGTGTATTCGTCGCCTTTGTGGTGTCCTAGACGGCTGAAATAACACCTGCCAGACCTAGACTAACCGGTAATTCTAACCCCCGCACATCCGGCTTCGCGGGCTTCCACACCCTGAGTCGGGCTCCTTACTGATGCAACGGCAGTTCAGCCCCTCAGCCTGTCCTCATACACCAGCCCAAGTGGACGTTAAAGCAGCTGGAACGAGCGTAGCCTCACGATGGGTTGCATAAACAATTTGACCCGTGAGGCAATTCTGAAATAGTATGGGTTCTGTGGACCTAACAACCGGGTCTGTATGTTGGCTATCTTTGTGGTGCTACGGGCTCGCCATAGCCCGTGTTACTTGGAACTTTTTGTTCCAGGTAGCGAATCTTTAACAACAACTTTGTGGTGAACGCTGTGGTTACTGAACACATTTTGAAATCCAACTTGGGTGGACGAAGATATTGTTAGCCATGGATATCTGTTGAGATTGGTACACTGACCAGACGAAACTTGTACGACGAGAATCTTCAAGAATGACCAGGTATGTTGTGTGTGACTTGGGGGGGGGGGGGGAGGAGGGGGGTGAGCAGGTATGTTGTGTTACGTACACAAAGAGCGCGGCGGAAATACATTGCTTAGCAAGCAAGAGTTTGGGGGGGGGGGGGGGGGCCCAGCGAAACGAAACGTCGGCACTTTCACTTTGTACATGGGTTTGTTTACTTCCTCTAGCCCCGTTGTAGTGACTTCCTCTTCAGTTAGCTCGCGCGCGCTCTCTCTCTCTCTCTCTCTCTCTCTCTCTCTCTCTCTCTCTCTCTCTCTCTCTCTCTCTCTCTCGCTCTCGCTCTCGCGCGCGCCAGCATTCCAGGGAAAACAATTTGAGGGGTTTTAACGATTCCCAATGATGTTGTTGTTGTTGTTTTAGGTTCAGCTACTGGGACCAAGACGTTCCAAGTAGCACGGCTATGGCGAGCCCGTAGTGGACTTACCTGTAGACTTATATACACGTTTAGATGTTTGTGTGTTTATTACCAGCTGGTGTGAGTGAAACAGCTGTGGTGGGAGACGGTCTCGGTTGTCTCTCTCCCTTCCCCTCTCTCTCTCCCTTCCCCTCTCTCTTCCTGCCCCTCTATCTCCTCCTCTCCCTTCCCCTCCTCTCTCTCTCCCCCTCCCTGCCCCTTCCCCCTCCCACATACAAAATGGTGGCAGATCGTTACGGACAATTCAGAAGTTTGAGAGAATGTTGTTGGTCTGAGAGCAATGGGGTCGTGTTATTACCTGCCACTCTGCCTTAACCTCTCCCGTCTAACTATCCCTGCACCGTCTACCCGTCCCTCCCCCTGTCCCTGTCCCTTCAGGGGTCCTCGTTAATCCCTGCCTGCGAGCGGTGCTTGAGCCTTTGAGTAACGGAGCAAATACTCGTTATTATCTGGCTAACGAGGCAAGCTCGGCCATGCTCGTGCCTGGCCAGCGGCCATGTTGACCCCCCCCCCCCCGGCGCTGACATGATGAGAGGGGGAGAGAGAGAGAGAGAGAGGGGTGGTGAGGGAGAGAGAGAGAGAGAGACAGAGAAGGGGGGAGAGAGAGGGGGGAGGGACAGAGAGACGGGGAGGGAGAGAGAGAGAGAGAGAAAGGGGGGGGAGAGAGAGAGAGAGAGAGAGAGAGAGAGAGAGAGAGAGAGAGAGAGAGAGAGAGAGAGAGAGAGAGAGAGAGAGAGAGAGAGAGAGAGAAGGAAGAGAGGGAGAGAGAGGGGAGAGTGGGAGTAGAAATATATGATAAATTATCTGCTAGGAAAATACAAAATTGAAACTGGTAGTAAGATTATCGCAGGAATGTCAACAGACAAGACCAGACTAGGAGTACCGACGCCGCCTCCTTGGCACGAACATTACCACAACGTTCTCTCAGCGCCCTCTGTGTCTTTGAGTACTTCGTGGCACTTCCTTGAGACTGATCAGTCTCCGGGAGTCGGTGCTGCCTCTCCAAGGTGCTAACACAATACTCGGAATTCCAGAGCAAAGGACTATCTAAGTCGAGAAGCCTTGCACTTCTATATGCTCGACTCTACCTAAAGCCAGTCTTAAAATAGGTAAATGTATCTCGAGTGAGAAATATTTAGCTTGTTTTTGAATAATTCCAACTGGGGCCGTAATTAGCTTTACAGCGCTTGGGGGTCGTAGTCTTTAAGGGCCCGGGTTCGATTCCAGGTGGAGGCGGAAACATATCGGCACAGTTTATTTCACCTTGCTGCACCTGTTCACCGAGCAGTAAATAGGTGGCTGGGAGTTAGAGAGCTGCTTCCTGGGGATGTGTGTGTGTGTGTGTGTGTGTGTGTGTGTGTGTGTGTGTGTGTGTGTGTGTGTGTGTGTGTGTGTGTGTGTGTGTGTGTGTGTGTTCGAGAAATATATGTAGTACATATATAATAGAGGAAACCAAAGTTGAATAGAAAGGCGGGGTCAAAGAGCTAAGAGCTCGATTATGTAGCCACAAATAGTAAACACACACACACACACACACACTAAAAATCACAATAACATGTGTTTTGAGAAAGTATTGGCGTGCACAGACGAGAGTTCAATCCCACGGCATTGCCTCATTATTTTTCCCTCCGACACACGCAGGCAGCACAGAGGAATGTGTGTGTGTGTGTGAGAGATCCTTGACCTGACGAACTCGCTGGCACCTCTCTCCCCTCCCCTCCCCCGCCCCCCCCCCCCCTGGGGCCACGAACAAGAGGCACCTCTTGGTTATGCACGAGGTGTAGGGGAAACCTCTAGGTGACATTCAGGCAACATTCAGGCAACCTTTCTGACCTTACGTAAATATCTCTAGACAAGAGCGAGCCAGTGATGGAGTGAGAGGTGATTGGGCACATCCGGGTCACGGGATGCGCCATATTGGATCAGTAGGTCTCCTGGTCTCCAGCTCCTGGCCTCCCTCCCTGTGTCTGGTGTAGCCTCGTGTACAATGCTAGGAGAAGGGGTGGTGTTGGTGTAATATATTCTTGATATGTGTGTATATCACGAAAATAAACACGTAATTAAGAATGTGACAATGTCAGACCACGGAGGAAAATGAAACAGGAATTTCCTTAAGTACTTTCGTATATTAAATACATCTTCAGAAGGAATGAAGATGTATTCCTTGTGAAGATGTATTTAATATACGAAAGTACTTAAGAAAATTCCTGTTTCATTTTCTTCCGTGGTCTGACATTGTCATATTCTTGATATATATATATATGAAAGCCCATCAAGGATTAACATCTGCAGTGATACTGTAGATAACACAAATTGTCCAGCGCGTTCCTTGCCTTTCAGTTGCCGAAATAATTAATAGTTAATAATATATTAAATAATTAATATAAATAATTAATAATTAAGTTAATTAATAGTTAAATAATTAATAATTAATTCTTGCATGACGCCGCGTCGTCATCATGAGGGGTTGCCAGGTGTCGGCAGTTCACCAGCACCGACATTCAGGGCCCAGTTATATATATATGATTCATGCCATATATGACCGCTCTCGTGCATGGCGTCTATATAGAGACCTGCCGTGGGTGCCTCTCTTGCCATATTTACATCACATTATCTACTGGTTGACCCGTAAATAAATAAATCTCGATAAATTATGGCAAGGTTACTTATTGGTCGTGTTAGGGCGGATGTTTTCCAGGTGGACGCGGGCGATGATTGGGTGTTCGGCCGAGCGTTCGCTATAGGCAGGTGTGAGGGCACAGAGTGGTCGCTACAGGCAGGTGTGAGGGCATAGTGGTCGCTATAGGCAGGTGTGAGGGCAGAGAGTGGTCGCTATAGGCAGGTGTGAGGGCACAGAGTGGTCGCTATAGGCAGGTGTGAGGGCACAGAGTGGTCGCTATAGGCAGGTGTGAGGGCACAGAGTGGTCGCTATAGGCAGGTGTGAGGGCACAGAGTGGTCGCTATAGGCAGGTGTGAGGGCACAGAGTGGTCGCTATAGACAGGTGTGAGGGCATAGAGTGGTCGCTATAGGCAGGTGTGAGGGCACAGAGTGGTCGCTATAGGCAGGTGTGAGGGCACAGAGTGGTCGCTATAGGCAGGTGTGAGGGCATAGTGGACGCTATAGACAGGTGTGAGGGCACAGAGTGGTCGCTATAGGCAGGTGTGAGGGCACAGAGTGGTCGCTATAGGCAGGTGTGAGGGCACAGAGTGGTCGCTATAGGCAGGTGTGAGGGCACAGAGTGGTCGCTATAGGCAGGTGTGAGGGCACAGAGTGGTCGCTATAGGCAGGTGAGAGACCGCGGGGCTTTCCCGCCCCCCTCTCCGCCCGCCCAAAATTAATTTCATGCAGTGTTGCCTAATCGCGATCCAATCCTCTTGCTGGGGTGGGGGAGAGGTGTACCCCTGGGGTATACTATGGCTCCCCATCACCCCTGGGGGTATACTATGGCTCCCCATCACCCCTGGGGGTATACTATGGCTCCCCATCACCCCTGGGGGTATACTATGGCTTCCCATCACCCCTGGGGGTATACTATGGCTCCCCATCACCCCTGGGGTATACTATGGCTCCCCATCACCCCTGCGGGTATACTATGGCTTCCCATCACCCCTGGGGGTATACTATGGCTCCCCATCACCCTTGGGGGTATACTATGGCTCCCCATCACCCCTGGGGGTATACTATGGCTCCCCATCACCCCTGGGGGTATACTATGGCTCCCCATCACCCCTGGGGGTATACTATGGCTCCCCATCACCCCTGGGGGTATACTATGGCTCCCCATCACCCCTGGGGGTATACTATGGCTCCCCATCACCCCTGGGGGTATACTCCAGCCGGCTCAGGTGTTGTGAGGTGCAAGGCTACACCCCCCCCCCCTCGTCCTGGGGTGGGGGTTGGGGGGGGAGCCAGGGGGGGACACACATCCGGCCCTCATCAGATAAGATTCGGTAAATCACTTGACGGACGATCTGTCTTCCGTCAAGTGACGGTGATCCCGTCTTCTCTGTGGCTTTTGACGGAATGTTTTCTTTAGTTTGTTTTGTTCCTTTTACATGTGTTTTCTGTCTGTCTGTCTGTCTGTCTGTCTGTCTGTCTGTCTGTCTGTCTGTCTGTCTGTCTGTCTGTCTGTCTGTCTGTCTGTCTGTCTGTCTCTCTGTCTGTCTCTCTGTCTGTCTCTCTGTCTCTCTGTCTCTGTCTCTGTCTCTGTCTCTGTCTCTGTCTCTGTCTCTGTCTCTCTCACTCTCTCACACACCCCCCCCCCCACACACACACACACCCCCACCACTACAGTGAGGAGTGGAGGTACTCCCCCCCCCCCCCCCCCGCCACACTAACAGGAGTAAGAGAGGTAAAAACAAAGGAGGATTAGTGGAACATTGCAGGAAGCTCTTGACGAGCTCGAGGAGTGGGCAGACGTGGTTGCTAAATGTCAACACCAACAAGTGCAAGGTAATAACGGTGGGAAAGGGAGATAGAAGACTGAAAGGAATCTACACCGTGAGAGGAATGCAACTTGAGGAATCTGAAAGAAATAAGGACATTCCAGCACAAGCCACGGAAGCACATATAATTAGGATAATATAGGTAATATAATTGTAGTTGGCAATAATATAAAAGAGAAATGCTGTTGACCAGACCACACACTAGAAATTGAAGGGACGACGACGTTTCGGTCCGTCCTGGACCATTCTCAAGTCGATTGTCAATTTCTAGTGTGTGGTCTGGTCAACATACTTCAGCCACGTTATTGTGACTCATCGCCTGCAAGAGAAATGCTCTTAAAAACCTAAACAAGGTGCTTGACGGTAATGAACATACCTTATAGAAGGTCAATACTATACTATGCAGCTATAGTATACAGCCGGTCGGCCGAGCGGACAGCACGCTGGACTTGTGATCCTGTGGTCCCAGGTTCGATCCCGGGCACCGGCGAGAAACAGTGGGCAGAGTTTCTTTCACCCTATGCCCCTGTTACCAAGCAGTAAAATAGGTACCTGGGTGTTAGTCAGCTGTCACGGGCTGCTTCCTGGGGATGGAGGGCTGGTCGAGGACCGGGCCGCGGGGACACTAAACAGCTCCGAAATCATCTCAAGATAACCTCAAGAAGATGAGGTTGATAGCATCAGTAAGCCCGTGCTAACTACCCACACTGAAGACACACTGCAAGTACAGAGGTGCACCTCAACTGACGATTCATATTAGCTAGAAGGAAAGGTTTGGCCATTTTGAGGGAGTTGCGCCATCTGAAGCAGAGTGAAAACCATTAGGGAGGGGGGGCGGTTATACAATGAAACTTGGTTATGTGAACCAACCTGATGCTAGCTTACCGTCAAACAGACACACTCCCCCAACCACTCCCTGACAGAACCAACAGCCGACCTCGGCAGCCACACTCCCGCTACCGTCGGATCGACCAGCAAGGGACACTGGAGTGCATGAAATTATTTGGGAGATCACCCAGGTAAGCGTCTGGTTCTGGGAGAGGGGTTCAGAGTCACCATTATTCAGGGGTGCGGCTCACACTGCCTAGTTGTCATGAGTACACACCCACATCAAGCCGCCTTGACTCCCCGCACTCTCCTTATTCTGGGATGACCTTCTGGATCCCCTTTATGAGTTATTGTCCACGAACACCCAAATTATAGCCGTGTCTTTCTCTGTCTAGCCAGGAAGCCTCACCAGGACAAGAGCAAAATCCAGCTGACAAATATAACATTTAATACATAATAACATACATAATATACATACGGGAATCGTTATAAAACAATGCAACCTCTTAGGCGGCTGCCAACTGATAACACTCCAATATCGCCTTGTCTCCACCCTGTAACTGTATCAGGCTGCTGCTTAAACTACAGCTTACAACCTTCTGCTTCCTTCACTGCTTTGGGCTGAAATACAGGGTACAAAAATATTCATATATCTACTACTACAAAAAGCATCAATCTCTCACCTCGCATTGTGTTTTCCATGCCAAAACGCGATCAAGCACTCCCTTAAACATCAACGTGTCCTTAAGATCCTCTGTTCCATTACTCGAGGTCCTCCTAGTACTGTCATCAATCTGGGTCCTCAAAATATCACGTAAGATATTCCTGCAGTTCCTCCAACCAGCTGCACATGAAGTCCTCCTTGAATGTCAGTGAAGCTCCTCCACCGGCTTCACACAAGATACGTGTAGCTCCCGACACTCCTTGAAGTTTCACTATGTCCATGGAGTTCCACTCGTCACTGGAAGTCCTACTCCACCTTCACTAACTTCTCCCATGCGAAACTTTGCACTTATACCATACAAACGTTGCAGTTCTCCCACACAAACCTGTAAATCTATCATCATGCCATAATAAATGTTTTCCTAACAAAACATAATTAAATGTATTCATAGAAAATCAAATTCCATCCGACATCTCTTTTAAACACTAATGCGTCGCCGCGATGGTCCTCCCCCATCTTGGACGAGTCCACACTGGGAAGATGTGTTGACACGTCGCTGGGGCTGCCGCCCCGATCTCGATGGGGGCTTCCGCCCCTCAGTCAGCACTTGACCTTCGGCGAGCGAGGATGTACCACTCCTCCCCCCAGCATGTTCTCGTATCTCAAACCGTCTCTTTTAGCTCACTGCCACAATAAAAATGTATATCCTATATGCATAAACACTTGCCATGATCGCTGGGCACACGAACGAGCACAGACAACCACTATAACAACTGCTACATGAGCTTACCACAGAATTCGTAGCTCTAGGGCGTTCAACTCTGGCCCTCCAAGACGGCGTTATCTAAGACGGTCAACAAAGCTTCTTTAAGAGTGCCTCACAGCTTTTCTGCTCCTGACTTGAGTACACGGAGTCGTCCAGCAGGCTCCACAACAGAGACACCTGCCTGCTCCTTCCTCTTGAAGAAGCACCACAATAAAAATTCCACAAAGGCGAGACCAACACACACTTCCAGGTCGCCCCTAATATATCAAAATCTCAGAGAAAAATAGTGTACGAAGGTCCCTTAGAGCTTCCTCACACTTGACATCAAGTAGCCTTCACTCCAGCACTAACACAGGGAACTATATTCTTCCTCCTTCCAGGAGAATCAGCGAAGTACGACCACCTCTGACAACTGCCGTGACTCGAGTGAGGTCACGACGTCCTGCCAGCATCACGTCATGTCACCCAAAGTATCGACATCTCATTTAATGTCACTCAAAATCTTATCCTCTGCTCATATTCTTAAATTATTCATTGACGTTTATTATATATTTAATATACACATCTTTCCTCTGATCTCTCACATCAGGTCCGGAAGGCAGAATAAATCGCACAAGTGTAGACTCGTTCCACTCAGGCTACATGGGGTCATAACAGAGGGATAGCTGCGAGGATTTTATCCAAAGCATTGTTATAACCGTCTTATTTGATTGCAGGCACACGGCGATCGAGGAGGAGGGCGATGGCCCCGCGCGCGGTGAGCTGGACATGGCAGCTGGCAAGCGCCATCAGCACCCTCCTGCGTCCTTCCGCGAAGAGCTGGCCACTCACGACCCTGGCTACTTCAGGAAGGACTCGAGGACGCCTGAAGAACGCTCCACCAACCATGCCGTTGTTGAGGTGCGTCCCGCCGGAACTTCCTACAACAACGTGCACTTAGCAAGCTCCTGCTCCAGTGCTACTGGTAGCGACGCATGTGTAGCGGGACCCCGAACGAACGCTACTCTAAATAGCGGCACATGCTTGCCCAGTGGATCCAACGATGCGGACAGACTAGCAGACAACACTTATGCCAAAGAAACTACTGCCAATAGCTATGGGGGTATAGATGGCAGCACGTGCCATAGCCCTCATCAAAGTAGAGAAGCGTGCTCATCGACGATTTTGAAGACTTCCGCCACGACTGCCACCATTCCTGGAGGCATCAACACCTGTAGCAGACTAGACATGTGTGGCAGGCCTAACACATGCAGCTCCCTCAACACATCTAGTAGCCCAAATATAAGCAGAACGTTAGATACGACTGGTAGCCCCAATACATGTATCACGCTAGACACGTCAAGTAGCCCCAATACATGCAGCACACTGGACACATCAAGTAGCCCCAATACATGCAGCGTGCTAGACACAAGTAGCCCTAATACATGCAACATCCTGGACACGTCAAGTAGTCCCAATACATGCAACACGCCAGACACATCAAGTAGCCCCAATACATGCAGCACGCTAGACACAACAAGTAGCCCCAACACCAGCAGCACACTGGAGACGTCGTGTAGCTCGAGCAGCGGCAGGACGCTGGACATCACAGGTAGCTCCAGCACAGCCCAAACTCTCGACACACCTGCCAGCCCTGGCACGGCGATGCCCAGTAGTGTGAACACTCCAGACGTTCAGAATTGTGTTCCTAAACCTTCCATACATGGTCAGCCGGGCGCTGATAGTAGTAGAGGCGAGTGCAGAGCTACCGATAAGATAAGCACTGATAACCTAGCTGAGTCAACAGCTAGACTGCATATCGGCGGATGTGGTGATGGAGGCAGCCAGTCTGTGAGAGGCAGTGAGGGAGGGATTACGATAGTCACCGAGACTCCCAAAACAGTGACTGAGAAGAAGGAAGTGATAGGGGTTAGTACAGTGCCGGGGATAGGAGACTCTGTGCCAGAAAGTGACTTTCCGACCACCATAGCCATACCGACGCCGACTAGTGCCGGCTGGAGCTTCATGGAACACAAACCTAGTCGTAGTGTGTGCGAGGAACTTCGCCAGTTGTCCCGAGTCAACTCCCTGGTAGAAAGAGGGTCACTAGCCAATATCCGCTCAAACTCCGTCGACGAGAACGGCCCGTATGCGTCGGGTCGCAGCTCTGGGGCCGGGACTGGCGTGTCCTCGCGTCGCGGGACCCATATTGCTAAGCTCATACAGTCCAAAAGTATGAACATGGGGGACAGACCCATCTACCCAAACGTGCCGTTCTCACCGTACGGTTCGCCGTGCTCCTCTCCAAGATTAAGACGTCGTCCGCTCAAAGAGTCTCGCTGCGTGAGCATTGAGAAGAATGGGGAATATGTGCAGCTCAACCAGTACAAGCTCAAGGAGGCCATTGGCCAGGTGAGTACATTCTCCCACACAGTATCAACAGCTTATAGTCACTTTTGGCTTTGTAACTGGGTTGTTTCGTTCTACTATGTGTCATGGGCTGCTGATCATGCCTTCCACATGTGTAGGGTGGGGTCCACATGTGTAGGGTGGGGTCCACATGTGTAGGGTGGGGTCTATATGTGTAGGGTGGGGTCCACATGTGTAGGGTGGGGTCTATATGTGTAGGGTGGGGTCTATATGTGTAGGGTGGGGTCTATATGTGTAGGGTGGGGTCCACGTGTGTAGGGTGGGGTCCACGTGTGTAGGGTGGGGTCCACGTGTGTAGGGTGGGGTCTATATGTGTAGGGTGGGGTCCACATGTGTAGGGTGGGGTCCACATGTGTAGGGTGGGGTCCACATGTGTAGGGTGGGGTCCACATGTGTAGGGTGGGGTCTATATGTGTAGGGTGGGGTCTATATGTGTAGGGTGGGGTCTATATGTGTAGGGTGGGGTCCACGTGTGTAGGGTGGGGTCCACGTGTGTAGGGTGGGGTCCACGTGTGTAGGGTGGGGTCTATATGTGTAGGGTGGGGTCCACATGTGTAGGGTGGGGTCCACATGTGTAGGGTGGGGTCCACGTGTGTAGGGTGGGGTCCACGTGTGTAGGGTGGGGTCCACGTGTGTAGGGTGGGGTCCACGTGTGTAGGGTGGGGTCCACGTGTGTAGGGTGGGGTCCACGTGTGTAGGGTGGGGTCCACATGTGTAGGGTGGGGTACACGTGTACAGTGGGGTCAACATGGATACAGCCTTCCTATAGTGATCTCATAAAGCCATGCATGGGTTGACCTGCACTTCTTATACTCCTCAAGCCCAGCCTGGAGCTAGGCTTGATTAATCATAACTTGGTCCAACAGGGTGTTGCTTGGAGCGGCCCGCAGGCTCACATATCCACTACAACCCGGTGGGTCCGGCACTTCTTGCAGAAACCTATCTAATTGGACTGACAATATTTCTAATGCTTACTAATGAACAGCCGAGGACCTCTGTAACTATGGCACCTCTGTTAGTTTCCGGTTTGATTCTGCATTTCCTTCCCTATATTTTTCATTCCAGTATGTTGTTATTTTACTGTGCAAATTTGGGACTTGGCCTTCCACTATCTTGAGGTTATCTTGAGATGATTTCGGGGCTTTTAGTGTCCCCGCGGCCCGGTCCTCGACCAGGCCTCCACCCCCAGGAAGCAGCCCGTGACAGCTGACTAACACCCAGGTACCTATTTTACTGCTAGGTAACAGGAGCATAGGGTGAAAGAAACCTCTGCCCGCTCGCTGTTTCGAGCGGGCAGAGTTTCTTCCTTCATTGTTTCTCGCCGGCGCCTGGGATCGAACCCAGGACCACAGGATCACAAGTCCAGCGTGCTGTCCGCTCGGCCGACCGGCTCCTATGGAAGTATCCACTTTCCAGTACCTTCCATGTATATATTATTTGATATCTCTCCTCGTCTCCTTTCCAAAGAGTACATATTGAGAACTTTGAGACGGTCCCAATAATTTAAGTGTTTCATCGCGTCGATGCGTGCCGTATATGTTCTCTGTATTCCCTCTTAATTCAGAAATCTCTCTCTCTTGCTCTGAAGGGGGAAGTGAGTACCGAGCAGTACTCAAGACAGAACAGTACCAGCGATTTGAGTAGTGTTAACATCTTTTACGTGTTGCTTTCCTTCTACCAGAAGATCCGATGGTGTTTCGAACTCTGGATTTCGTTTAATTTTTATATTTTTGTCCATATTTAAATACCTGGAACTTATCGCTGTTAAACATCATGTTTTTTTCCGTCGCCCAATAGAAGTCTTCATTAATTTGGGCTCGTAGTTCTTTGTCAGTCTTCTACAGACGTAATTTTCAGGATGATTTTATGTTGTCATCTGGAAAGGGATGACACGAAGTTGTGACTAGTGTTTTTGTATGTATCTGATGTGAGAATGAGAAAAGGCAGTGGTGCAAGGACTGTGCTCTGGGGTACAGAGCAGTGGTGCAAGGACTGTGCCCTGGGGTACAGAGCAGTGGTGCAAGGACTGTGCTCTGGGGTACAGAGCAGTGGTGCCAGGACTGTGCCCTGGGGTACAGAGCTTTTCACTGCGCTTGGCTTGACTTTTTATTTGATCGACTGTTACTTTTTGCATTCTTTTTGACAAAATTTTAAATCCATTTCTGTATTTTACCGTCCCCGCCTGAATATACTACTACCGTGTCTACTCACCTAGTTGTGCTTGCGGGGGTTGAGCTCTGGCTCTTTGGTCCCGCCTCTCAACTGTCAATCAACAGGTGTACAGGTTCCTGAGCCTACTGGGCTCTATCATATCTACATTTAAAACTGTGTATGGAGTCAGCCTCCACCACATCACTGCCTAATGCATTCCATCCATTAACTACTCTGACACTGAAAAAGTTCTTTATAACGTCTCTGTGGCTCATGTGGGTACTCAGTTTCCACCTGTGTCCCCTTGTTCGCGTACCACCAGTGTTGAATAGTTTATCCTTGTTTACTCGGTCGATTCCCCTGAGGATTTTGTAGGTTGGGATCATGTCTCCCCTTACTCTTCTGTCTTCCAGTGTCGTAATGTGCATTTCCCGCAGCCTTTCCTCGTAACTCATGCCTCTTAGTTCTGGGACTAGTCTAGCGGCATACCTTTGGACTTTTTCCAGCTTCGTCTTGTGCTTGACAAGGTACGGGCTCCATGCTGGGGCCGCATACTCCAGGATTGGTCTTGTGTGTGTGCGTGTGCGTGTGCGTGCGTGTGCGTGTGCGTGTGCGTGTGTGTGTGTGTGTAAGAGAAGGCAAGCATCACCACCTGCTGGTGTAGACAGCGCTGCAGCAGCACCTTCAGTATGCTGTACTATCATCTTTAATTCCCGGCGAAGCGCTCTTGGTCAGCACCACCTGCTGCTGCTGCTCCTGCTGCTGCTCCTGCTGCTGCTCCTGCTGCTGCTCCTGCTACTGCTGCTCCAGCTGCTGCTGCTGCTGCTCCTGCTCCAGCTGCTGCTGCTGCTTGACGTCAACACGGTACCCTTCCTCCCAGCCCGCGCCACACTCAACTGTTCCACTCAAGTCTTCTATTCAGTTGTTCCAATTGCTTGTTCCATCAAATTGGTTCACACTTGCCACTCTTACTGGTTCCACCCAATTGTTCAACTCTCGCTTGTTTCACAGTGGCCGTGTTCCCTCTGGTGTTCACCTCACACCTCGCTTCACTCACCAGCTTTACCTGTCATATCCTCCATCTGTCCGGCCTCATGAACACTGGTCAAATGCTCCGTAGTCCAGCCGCCAAGCTTGTTTAGGAATGAGAAAGACTTGACACCATCCAATTGTTACCGTCTCCTGGCGGTAAGTTCGCGCCAGAGTTCGCGCCAAAATGTAAGCGATGCAGCGACGCTAGATTCCCCGGATGTGGAGGGACAAGATAATTGGCTGCATGGGAGTAGTGAGATTAGCCAATGGAGTAGTGATGTGAGATCACGTGATCGCTGGACAGCTCCTGAATGGTGCTTCCCAGGCAGGCGGGAACACGCCGTATTGCCTTTTTTTAGAACAAAATCAGAACAGATTTTGCAAGTTGCCGTGCAAGTGAGGAGATGTCGGGAGCCACAGCCTCAAGTATTAGAGTTGGGCAGGAAGACCACAGTGGCCGCTTCGCAGCTTAAGCCTCCATTAGCTGGACGTTGTTTCTAGGACCAGTCGTGGCCAGTGGAGATCAGTAGTGGGAATGACAAGACGAGCTGTGAGCTACAGCTTGGTGCCTTCTGGCGTGTATGTGTCCCCTCACATGATAGTGAGGGAGTCCAGTCTCCCCCTCACTCGGGTTATGATGTAAACACCTCATGAAATCTTTCATTAGAGTTCCTCACATACCTCATTATCACTCTCTGTGAGAGCTCCCCCCTCCCCCTTATTTCCTCAATCTGGGAACATGGACTTTTTTCCCCTTATGTGACTATAAAACAGCTTTGGTTGTTCCTTAGTCTTTGAAGAGGTCATTTTTAAATTACCTCTGAGCTGTTCTCGTAACTCGAGTGCTTCTCCCTCCCGTGGTGGTGGTGCTCCCTCGTGATGGGGGTCTGGCATTCATTATGGTTGGGAAGGGAGGTCTGTGTTCTCCAACATGAGTCCCCGCCTCGTCTTGCAAGGCTGACTGTCAATATTGCATGATGGATGCACGGACGTCAACATTATCTTTAACCCGCCAAACACACACCGAAACTACGACGTTGGTACAACGTTCGAACAAGTTTTAACACCTCCTAACCAGTTATAACAACCAATATAGCAAGTTGTAACAACGTTCTAATACGTCATAAACACGTTAAGCCAAGCTGTAACAACTTTATTACAAGTTGTAACAAGCGGAAAATAGAGACAGTTTCGGTTTGTGTTTCCAGGGTTTGTCTCAATATGGGAGTGAACCTTTTTTTTTTTTTTAACTAGTCCGCTGTTTTTTCCTGCTGTTTAGAGTCGTTATTTTTCGATGTATATACATGTTGTTTCATTGACAATATGCTAATGATAATTCATTTGACGGGGGACAGGAAGCCAGTGTATATATATATACTTTAGTCTTGAGTCGATGTCCCCCTTAAAAGGTGGAACTACTGACCCTCCCCAGGATTAATTGCTAGGTGAACAAAGCCATTGCGTGAAAGGGAACGTGCCCAACCACTTCGGTCTCGGCCGGGAATCGAACTCTGGCATTGCCGATTGTGATTCGAAAACGAATCCTGGGGTTTTGACAGAAGCATTTTGGCCCGTCCTCATCAACACCAGCCCGTCCTCGTCACCACCAGCCCGTCCTCATCAACACCAGCCCGTCCTCATCACCACCAGCCCGTCCTCATCACCACCAGCCCGTCCTCATCAACACCAGCCCGTCCTCATCACCACCAGCCCGTCCTCATCACCACCAGCCCGTCCTCATCAACACCAGCCCGTCCTCATCAACACCAGCCCGTCCTCATCACCACCAGCCCGTCCTC